AATAAACGATAGAAAGTACAGATATATTCCAGAACTTAGATGAAACATTCAAATACAGAACCAAAAATATTTTAAATAAAAACATAAATCCATAAATTTGTTTGATTTATTCATTTTTTTTGACAGGCAGAGTGGACAGTGAGAAAGAGAGACAGAGAGAAAGGTCTTCCTTTGCCATTGGTTCACCCTCCAATGGCCGCCACAGCCAGCGTGCTGCGGGCGACACACTGCGCTGATCTGAAGGCAGGAGCCAGGTACTTCTCCTGGTCTCCCATGGGGTGCAGGGCCCAAGCACTTGGGCCATCCTCCATTGCACTCCCGGGCCACAGCAGAGAGCTGGCCTGGAAGAAGGGCAACCGGGAGAGAATCTGGCACCCCGACCGGGACTAGAACCTGGTGTGCTGGTGCTGCAAGGCGGAGGATTAGTCTAGTGAGCCACGGCACCGGCTTGATTTATTCATTCTTATAACTAATTCTTCATTGCTCTCCTTTAGAATTTTAGTGCTTTTTTTTAAAAAAAATATTTATTTATTTATTTGAAAGTCAGAGTTACACAGAGAGAGGAGAGACAGAGAGAGAGAGAGAGGTCTTCCATTCGATGGTTTAATCCCCAATTGGCCACAACAGCCAGAGCTGCCCTGATCCAAAGGCAGGAGCCAGGAGCTTCTTCCAGGTCTCCCATGCGGGTGCAGGGTCCCAAGGACTTGGGCCATCTTCTACTACTTTCCCAGGACATAGCAGAGAGCTGGATAGGAAGGGAACAGCTAGGTCTCAAAATGGCACCCATATGGGATGCCGGCACTTCAGGCCAGAGCATTAACCCACTGTGCCACAGTGCCAGCCCCTTAGTGCTTTTTCTAAAAAAGTTTTTTTTTTCTTTCCCTCAGAGTTCTGGAAATTTTTATCAAAATTAGTCAAAAACCTGTATTTAAGAACATTTGGGTCTGGCACTGTGGCTTAGCAGGAAAGCTACTGCCTGCCATGCCAGCATCCCATATTGGGTGCTGGTTCGAGTCCCAACTGTTCTGCTTCAGATCCAGCTCTCTGCCGTGGCCTGGGAAAGCAGTAGGAGATGGTCCAAATCCTTGGGCCCCTGCACTTGTATAGGAGTCCCAAAAGAAGCTTCTGGCTCCTGGTTTCAGATTGGTATGGCTCTGGCCATTCATCTGGGAGTGAACCAGCAGATGGAAGACCTCACTCACTGCCTCTGCCTCTCTGTAACTTAGGTCATATATAAGGACTTTTGAAAGTCTTAATCTTGGCCCAGCACTGTAGCATAGCAGGTAAAGCCATTGCATGCAGCTTTGGCATCCCTATGGGCTTTGGTTTGAGCCTCGGCTGCTTCACTTGTGGTCCAGCTCCCTACTGATATGCCTGGAGGATGTGCCCAAGTGCTTGGGCCCTGCACCCACATGAGAGACCAGGAGAAGCACCTGGCTCCTGGCTTCAGATCAGTGTGGTGCGCCAGCCACAGTGGCCATTGGAGGGTGAACTAATGGAAAAGGAAGACCTTTCTCTCTGTCTCTCTGTCTCACTGTCCACTCTGCCTGTCAAAAAATTAAAAAAAAAAAGTAAAACCTTCTGGAGTGTGTAGATAGTGTATAGAGTGTGTATAATCAACCAGACTCTCACAAATCCAACAAAAAGGAACCATCATCATTAAGAAATGCTTCCAGGTTTGAATTCTGGCTTTGCCACTGCTTAGCAATAGCATCTTGGGTAATCTCCACTCTTCTTCACTTGGAAAATGATGATAATAATAGTATCTTGTGCTTAAGCAAAATGAAATGGGACAACACATTTTAAAACACTACTAGCCATGTCTAGCATATAATGACTCAATGAATACTATTTTATGATTTTTACTAATACTGTGCTATCAGATTGTATCCAGTGGGCCACACTTGAGTTCCCCTACTCTGAGCTTATAAGCCCAATCAACACTTCATGCAGCTGCAGAGACTTGATGTCTCCTGTATCCCTCCCTAGAGTGCTCATATAGGACAATGCATGGGTGAGTGCATGGGAGAGAGTTGCCAGTGAGCATACAGCAGTGAAAAGACCCCCTGCCTTACAGAACAGTGGTTTATATAGAACAAAATGGACTGAAAGGGCTTGGAGATGCTGGGTTGATGAGAAAGAGGGAGAGTTTGGGCTAGATTTCAGGGTCACTTGAGATCACAGTGTGAGCTGGGAGAGGTTCAGGCTGAGGCTGGACTGTGAGGCTGAGCTGCTGAGATATGGGGAGGTAGCTTGAGAGGAGTGAGAGAGATCTTGGGCAGACAGCAGGAGTCTTCTGATAGTAACATGTCCAAAAGTCAAGGCAGGACAGGCCTGGTTAAAGTAGGTTGGAGCTGTATTGGCAAGGCCGAAAAACAGGGGCCTGCTTGTTGCTATGTAAGAGGTCAACAGGGATCCAAGGCTTTTGTCCTTGCTCCATCACTGTGTATGATAAAGTCAGAACAAAGCATGCTTTGATGAAGGTGATTTCTGGTAGAAATTCTACAATAAAAATCTATCCAGTCACAATCTGCTGCATTTCAGTTAGATTTCACTCTTTAGCTAAAGGCATTCATGTTTGGTGCCTTCCAGCTGGGAATCAGAGGAAATGTCCAACCAGGGTAAATGCCATAAGAGTGGCCGTGGACAATAGTAGAGACAACAGTGTGCACCACCAGTGACAAAGTCCAGCTCTAATTACAGAACTCCAAATCCCCAGGGAGGGGCCACACAGTTAGCATCTTTCAAGTTCACAAGGTGTACTTATATTTTGCAAGAACTCTCAGTCAAGCCTCAAGCTATGTGCATGTTTTAAGTAAATATCATTTGCTATACCTTTTGCAGGAAAGACAAACAGAAAATTAGCCACATTGGGCTCTTTACTCACAACTTCCAACATCACTACTACTAACAATTCTGATTTAAGAAGAGGTCAATTGTGCGTCTTGGGGAAGGGGCAACAGGATGTATTATTTTTGCTGTCTCTCTGCTCTGTTTCTAGCCTGCAACTCTCTCCTCTTCTCTAGTAGTCCCAGGTAAGAAGTGAGATTGCTTCACTTGCTCACCAGTCTGCCTTGCAAATCCCATGCCCCACTCTCCCTCTGTCAGAGCCTCATTCATGTTGTAGGTCAGAGGAGCATAAAGGGAAAGACATGGGGTCAGGAGACCAGCTCACCTTACCAGGGCTGTCCCTGTCACATCAACCCCTAAAAGTGTTGTTGCTATGGCAACTCTCCAACCTTGAAGCTAGTGCTTCAGACTTCCTCTGACTGTAGGCCCCTGTGTATCCCTTGACCTCAGCAGGCACTCCAGATGCAGACTTGGTCCATGCATGCTGAAGTGCTGGCCAGTCAGAGGCAGAGCTAGCTCAAACTCCTGCCTATCACCCATTCTTTGTGTGTCAACAGCTGGAGCCAGCACCATGAGACCACAAATATCTTCATGCCTTCTGTGCCCTGCCTACCCTGTTGGCAAATATGCAGTGAGGCCAGCCTCTGAGGCTTCTGCTGTATCCTTGGATGAATGGGTTCTGGTGGGGTGGGGCTTTTTCTCCTCACATGGTTTTGAAAGTGTCTCTCTCTCACTGTCTAACTCTACCTGTCAAAAAAAAAAAAAAAAGGAAAAAGAAAAAGAAAAGGAAAACAAAGGAAAGGACAGGACAGGACAGGAAAGGAAAGGACAGGACAGGACAGGAAAGGAAAGGACAGGACAGGACAGGAAAGGACAGGACAGGACAGGACAGGAAATGACAGGAAAGGAAAGGAAAGTATAGGAAAGGACAGGACAGGAAAGGAAAGGACAGGACAGGATAGGAAAGGAAACGAAAGGACAGGAAAGGAAAGGAAACACTAGGAAAAGAAAGGAAAGGTTACAGAGAGAAGGAGAGGCAGAGAGAGAGAGAGGTCTTTCATCTGCTGGTTCACTCCCCAACTGGCTGTAGTGGCTGAAGTTGTGCCCATCTGAAGTCAGGAGCCAGGAGTTTCTTCCAGGTCTCCCACATGGGTGCAGGGAAGCAAGGACTGTGCCATCTTCTTCTGCTTTCTTAGATCATAGCAGAAAGCTGGGTCTGAAGTGGAGCAGCTGGGACTCAAACCAGCACCCACATGGCATGCGAGCACTGCAGGAGGTAGCTTTACTTGCTTCACCATGGCACCAGCCTCCCTGTCTCTCATTTTTTCCCCCAGATGACAAATCTGGGGTTTTAGAAACTGAGCCCCAAGACAAAAGAATTTCTTAGACCAGTATTATATTTTAGTTAGCCTTTAACGTAGACGTTTTAATGATATTGCCATGGGCAAGTTCTAAACTCTTTGCACCTCAGTTTCCCCTTAGTGAACTCCTGATTATACTGTCTCCAGAATTAATCCAAGGTATAAATGCTATGAGGTAAGGTATTTAGTCCCTTAATCTTGCTCCTAGAAGATACTTAGCAATGTTAGTTCAGTATCCAGTTCCCTTCTTTGTTTCTATGCTTGAGGAATTAAAAGATGGTGTAAACTGATTTGAGAAGAACTATAAATATCAATAAAACACAAATAAAATTGTATTATCAAATCTGCATGTTAAACTCTACCCTCTACACCTCTGCTAAAAGGTATATTGCTTTCATAATCATTTACTATGTGAGAGAAGTTTCCAGGAACAATGCAACCTGTAAGATGTTTCTGGAAGAAGACAGAGGTTATGAAGGAGCCAGGATTTGGGATCAGTTACAGAAGAGAGTGCCACGCTTTAAGATTTGATTCAGGAAAGAACACCAACTGATCCTTAAGATTTTGGGGTGGGAAGGAAAAGGAGGGATGTGAACAGAGCGAATGCCCTCTGCTGGCCAGTATTTCTCCATCCACTCCACACTGAAGCCCTAGGGGATCGCCTGCCGGTATCTAGATTTGCGCAGCCTGGACTCCATTTCCCAGAGTCGCCAGGTGCCCTGACGTATTCTGGGTTCCGAATACCTGTGCGTGTTGACGTGGGAGTACCTGTGCCTGCGTGTGTGTACGTGCACGTCGGTGCCTGCCCTCTAGTGCGGAGTTGAGAACAGAGGAAGTTCATTCATGGATCGGAGTCAGCCTGAGAGGCCACGCTGCTCCTTCTCCCGCATTCACTACATTTCTTGCTCTGCACACAATCCCAGGAAGTCTGCGGAGACACCCTGAGCCGCCACCCGCTGCTTCTGTGCCTCTTCATCTGCCGCCTGTGGGTCCCACATGCCGGGGACTTTTTCTGCCCCACACTCTCTGCTTTGCTCCCTGAGTGTCCTGAAGCAGGGGGATGGGCTCCCGGGACTTTCCATGGCAAGTATGGAGAACAGAAGGGGCACAGATGTGTGTGTGGGAGAGGGGTGGTGAGAGGGCGGCTGGCGGCTCCGCCATGTGGCTCACTCGCTTCTCAGTGATCCTGGTGGCTTCCCAGGGCATGGTCAGGCCTGGGACCTTGGCTCTCATTTCTCCCACCGCCAGTGCCCAGCCTCCCAGTGCCCGACTAGTCCGCGTGTTACCTTGCTCAAATTTTCCTCAATGTGCTTTATGTGGTGGTTACAAAACAGAGAGCACCGGTCAGGGCAACTGCACAAGCAGGGCAGGTGAGAGGGTGGGGAAGGAAGGCTGTGAGGCTCCCAGTTTGCTCTATTTAAATAAGCCCGGCTCCCACTTCGGGTGAGTCATGGAATGCCTTCTGGCTGCTGCTTCTGCGGGGTGGGGCTCAGTGGCCTTCAGAGGGGTGCGGGAGGCAGCAGGGGTGGGAAGGAGGGCAGAATAGGAGCTGCTCCATGGCCCCCATTCTGCACCTCATCGGGTGTTGGATTCCCCATGGACACACCTGGCAGTGGTGGCCCTGTGTGCTGAGCTTTTCACCAGAGGGAGCAGCGTGAAGGGTGAGCAGTAACTTTGGGGGTTAATCCTTCTTCCGTGTTTAGTTAACAGACTTTTCAACCTGGAGTTTGAGGCCACAGAATCTTAGCTGATGATTTAATTGTCTGCTTTTCAATTTCTGTCGTCAGCCCTTCTTCCTTCTCCTGTTAGGAAGGATGTCAACTGCTATTGCCTGTCAAGGATCCCTTTACAAAGTGAGAGTGAACTGTGCGGTCAACAACTGGAGCTATTTTAGTCTGGATTTGCATGAAGTGGAGAACCATAAACACAAATACAGAAAAGTAACACTTTCTCTGCCGAGTTCTTCAGTCACCCAGTGCTCCACCAGGCTGATTATCTTACAGTCCATACTTTTTTAAAAAAAGATTTATTTATTTATCTGAAAGTCAGAGATATAGAGGGGCAGAGGCAGAGAGAGAGGGAGAGGTCTTCCATCTGCTGGTTCATTCCCCAAATGCCTGCAATGGCCAGAGCTGGGCTGACCTGAAGCCAGGAGCCAGGAGCTTCTTCTGGGTCTCCCATTGGGTGCAGGGCCCAAGCACCTAGGCCATTGTCTACTGCTTTCCCAGGCCATAGCAGAGAGCTAGATTGAAGTGGGGTAACTGGGACTTAGAAAAAATTCCCCCCTCCCTTTTGAAACAATCCACCTGGCATGGCCCATATGGGATGCGGGCACTGAAGGGGGCAGCTTTACTCACTCTGACACAGTGCTGAACCCCACACTGAGTTAACTAAGAAGTCCAGATACTTGTCTTATTTTGGGTTCTGTGTTTAACCCATGACATTTTTTTATATAGGATGATATTAGTTCTACATTTTCATAAAGACCATGGTCTGTGGAAGCATCTGTACAAGTTGTTAATGGGAGGAGGAGTCAAAAAGAAGAGGGGAAAGAAAAAAAGTTCACCTCTCCCCCCACAGAGATGTAGAGTAGAAGTGACCTTGCAAACTATTGCTGAGTGAGTTTCAGTGTAATGCAGTTTTCACATGAATAGCTGAGTGATTCCAGTGTCCTGATAGAATGTCATTGTCACCAGATTACCAGTTTATGAAACTCATTTAGCATAATGAGGCCATCTAGGAAGTAAACACAGAAAGTGATTTCTGGATAGAGGGTGTTAGGGTGACAGCATTTCTCCTCTCAGCCCCAGTGTGTTGTTTTAGACCTTTTCCCCAGTGCCCTCCCTATCACAGAGCTTGTGAATGGACCAGCATTTTTGTGTTTCTGGTGGGAAGAGCTGCTTCACACCCATGAAACAACTGTAAGACCACTTTCTGAGCAACCATGTTGTTTGCCTGTTAATATGACTTGGAAAAAGCTGAGAACCGGATGCTTAGACTCGTCAGGTTAACTGGCTGTCCTTGGCACATCATTCCCCTCTTGGCTATAGGTTTCTGGCAAGTTTTATAAAATGTGTAAGAGAGAAATATTTTGTATGAGATATATAAGCTGGTAATGAAGTAACAGTAGGGACTCCATTTTGGAGCACCTGAGACTCCATCTTGAGAAAGCACCCACCCACAACCATGAGACTCTGGTCTGAAACTATGATCTAAAGCACCATGCATTTGTGTCCCTTCCTCCTTCTTTCCTTCAATGCTGGAGCAGCCTTAACAGAGTTAAACTGGGTAGCACTGGTCATTTTGGATTTGGGTGCTTGGAAAGCAAGAGAAATTGTTTTTCCTGCAGAAAGGGATTGAGGAGGCACTAGACAAAGTCAGTAGTAGCTTTCTTGGCTCCATCGTATGTCAAATTGAGTCAGAATATTTGTGGTCAGTTTTCTTTAAACAGAAAGGCAGAATGAGAGAGGGGCTTTTTTATTTGTTCTCCTTAATTTTAATCTTTTTTCTATTCTTTTTTAAAACATTTTTTTATTTATTTGAGAGGTAGAGTTATCAGCAGAGAGATAGAGAGAAAGGTCTTCCATCTGCTGGTTCACTCCCCAGTTGGCTGAAATGGCCGGAGCTTTGCTGATCCGAAGGCAGGAGACAGGAGCTTCTTCTGGGTCTCCCACATGGGTGCATAGGCCCAAGGACTTGGGCTATCTTCTCCTTTCCCAGGCCACAGCAGAGAGCTGGATTGGAAGAGGAGCAACCGGGACTAGAACCGGCGCCCATATGTGATGCCAGCGCAGAAGGTGGAGGATTAACCTACTGCGCCACAGTGCCAACCCCTCTTTTTTCTATTCTAAGAGAAAGATCTTCATCTTCTGGTTCACTCCCCAAATAGCCACAACAGCCTCTGCTGTGCTAGACTGAAGCCAGGTGCCAGGAGCCAGATCTCCTACTTGGGTGTAGGGGCCCAAGTACTTGATCCCAGACCATTGGCAGGGAGCTGGAGGTGAAATGAAGCCACTAGGACTGGTACCTATATGGGATGCCAGTGTTACAAGGGATGTTTTCAACTAGCTGCACCATAGTGTGGACCCCTTTCTAAAACTTTTTAAAAGAATTTATTTATTTGTGGCTGGTGCCATGGCTCAACAGGCTAATCCTCCACCTAGCGGTGCCGGCACACCAGGTTCTAGTCCCGGTCAGGGTGCCGGATTCTGTCCCGGTTGCCCCTCTTCCAGGCCAGCTCTCTGCTGTGGCCAGGGGGTGCAGTGGAGAATGGCCCAAGTGCTTGGGCCCTGCACCCTGTGGGAGACCAGGAGAAGCACCTGGCTCCTGCTTTTGGATCAGTGCGGTGCACTGACCGCAGCACACTGGCCACAGCAGCCATTGGAGGGTGAACCAACAGTAAAGGAAGACCTTTTTCCCTGTCTCTCTCTCTCTCACTGTCCACTCTGCCTGTCCAAAAAAAAAAAAAAGAAATTTATTTATTTGATAGGCAGAGTTAGAGGAAAATATAAACACACACACACACACACACACACAGATATCAATCTTCCATCCACTGGTTCACATCCTCAGTGGCTACAACAGCCAGCGCTGGACTGGATCAAAGTGGGAGCCAGGAAATTCATCCAAGTCTCCCATGAAGAAACAGGGACACAAGCACTTGGGCTATCCTCTGATAATTTCTCAGGTGCATTACCAGGGAGCTGGATTAGAAGTAGGGTAGCTGGGACATGAACCACAGCCCATGTGGGATGTCAGTGTCACAGGCAGTGGCTTTGCATATTATGCCTCAATATTGGCCCCATGTATGCTGGAAACATATTTAAGGGTTATTAGAAGGTCAGTTGATTGCCATCAAATGCCATTCAGGCCTGTCCTACAGAACCATTTTGAAATAAGTAACATTTCTCACATGATTGAATGTCAGTGTACAAGACTGCTTCCAAAGGGAGAGAGCTTCAGGGGCAAAGGGGGCAGTGATGGAGAAAGGGAGTAGGAGTAAAGGAGGAGGGAGGAGGTGGAGGTCAGTAGAGAGGTTGGGAAGTACTCAGAAGCAAAAAGTAATAGGACACGGGTCATTTGTGCAGATTGCCAAAATTAACCATGTATATTATAGCTTTTTGAAATTCAGAGTTAATTTCTGACATAATTTCTGATATAGTTAACTCTCATTTCTGTTTTTTCATATGATAATGTTTATAAGCAGTAGAGAATGGGTGTAATTAAATGCAAAACCATACTCCTGTATAAGAAATTTGTATTAGAAGCCAGCACCACAGGCAGTGTTATTTCCTATGAAATTATTCCCATGTTTCCTGATTAACATTCTCTGTTGGTTGAAGAGGATGGCAGGTTGGGAGACCAGGGAAAGAGTGAGCACCCATTTTCTGTTCAGTTGTGCTGAGCTGCAGGGAAACTATCAGGGAAGTTTGTGAGCAGGAAAAGTGAGGTTGGAGGGTGAGAGAAGGCAGTGTAGAAGGTAAGTAGAGAGGAAATAATTGCAGAACATATTCACAGATTAGTTTGGCAAAAGCCAAGTGTGATCAGAGACCTAAAAAGAGGGAAAGAAAAGTTGAAGACAGAGAGCAGAAGAAATGGGAAATTGGAAGCATCGGAAGGAATTTTGACTCTGATCACACACACTTTTGGAAGGTGTGGGGAAACAGGCCCTTGAACTCATATTGGCAGGAGAATAACACAGTACTCTCTTTGGAGGATAATTTGGCAGATCAAAGTTCTTTAAATGTAAATGTCCCTTGCTAGGATTCAACTGCAAATTTATCTAACATATATTTGGTCAAATACATAAAGACCAAGTGAGGACTTTGTAGTATTGTTGAAGATGGGAATAAAACAGAAGCAACCTAAATGTATATTGACAGAGAAGTGGGAAAATGCATTATGGTATATCTGTACAGTCAAATACTAAATATGTAATAGGTCTGAAAAATGATGTAGGGACAGAGTACTTATGTAAAACAAGGTACAGAAAAAATTCTTCTTTGTAAAAAAAAAGGACACATGCATATGTATCTCTTTATAAAGTGCTATTTACTCATTGTCATTTCATTCAGAAGGCAGAGACAG